GTTAAAATTTTCGAAATGTATTGATTGTTACGTCAAATCGCAATCGAAAATCATTATTGCTAATAAATCCGCATTTCATGTATACTGTTTTTAAACTTTAACGCCAAAATTACAATACTTTTTTCTGACCTCATGCTATAATAATACATAGTTCGGTTCTATAACTTTGCAATTTCTACCTAACTGACCTCTCCAATAAATATTTTCTGTCGTTATGGGAACATTGTTTGATAGAATGCGTGGAGCTTTTCGTGCCTGGTAATATCTTCAAAATATATTTCTTCAAACCTTATATTTCGCAGAACATGTGTCGTTTATCACACACGTACACATTAAAGAAATAAGCAGGAGTCCATTTCCTTCTAAAATAACATGAGCCATTATTTGTTAAACGTCTGTGTGTGCCCGCTTATAACTGCTGGACTGATTGTCACCAAACCTGGCTTGTAACGTTAGGGCTCCCGGAGGAGTGGCATATGGGGTTGGCGTTTGTAACTGTTGTTTTTGTTTGTTATTAAGCACAAAGCTACACAAAGGGCTATCTGTGCTCTGCCCACCACGGGTATCGAAACTCGGATACTAGTGGTATAAGTCCGCAGACATACCGCTGTGCCACTGAGGGCGTTTGTAACTGACTCCGCATGTAACTCCCTGGAACTCAATGTCTTCTCCATGTGTTGAATTGGTACGTTGACTAATATAAAATAAAACACAAGTCTTACAAATTTTAGATATATATTTTTACTTACCTGTATCAGAGCTGTAGATGATCTATATCTTGTGTTTTTTATTCAGAAGAGCAGCTAAAGATGAGAAACCGGTAAGGAATAATAACTGTTTTAAATTTCTAGAGTGTTGTGTTTTATGTTACGAAGTATGTACGAACCATGTTTTAAAATAATGAATAACTTGTAGTTCCTACAAGCTCTAAAAGGAATGGACGAACAATAAAAATAATTTTGGTTTTGATTTCATGTATATTATTTTTCTTTCTAAGCAGTTAATAACTTCAATTAAAAAATAACAGCAATTATTGTTTTTTATTACTGTTCTACAATAAAAATACTTATTTCCTCATTGTCGACAGTACAAAACATTGAATTCTGATCTTGTTCTTCACACATAACGGTGGGAGAAACTTCAGGATGCGTACAGAGAGATGTCCTGTTTACTTGAGCAACGTATCTTTTTCGTCCCCCCAGTGAAACAGCGGTAGGTCTACGGAATTAAAACTATAAAATTCAGGGTTCGATTCCCCGCGGTAGACACAGTAGATAGCTCTATGTGGCTTTGCTCTAATACAGATTCAAAGTATCTACAAAATTGCAGGATAAACTAGAAAATATAAACTGATGCTTCATAATTATACCAAGCGTGTTTGCGAAACACACATGCCTCGTTATAAAGTTTTTACAAATAGGTATGTTAAATATCAACATTATGATAGTGTTTTCTTTGTTACTTAGGGTTCCCCAATCTCAGACTCCCTTTTTGAGAAGATTTGAGTAACAGAATAAAATTTTATAAAAATCGGTTAACATCAAGAACACATCACTTCTACTGGAATTCTTTTTCATAAAGGTAATGCGTACATTTATGTTTCTACAGTAAATGTTGTTACCTTTTAAAAATGCATGGTAAAAAACATGACACAAAACCGGCACCTACCCACCAATTATACAACTCCACACTTATATTCCCAATTAGTAACAATAATTATCGTTATTATTAGTTCTCTTGTTTGCTTTTATGTTATACTTAGTGAAATCAGTTCCTGTGACGACGTATGTTTGGCCTTCTGCAGAAGAAAAATACTGTTTAAGCTATTGTGTACATATTTCGCTTCAAAATAGCGTGCATCTTTTAGCTTGAAAGTTTCTTTCTCAGTAAGGTAAGATCAACCTGTTTCTTTCTCGTTAACTATTAAGACTAATTTCCTTATTTTCGGTAACCTCAAGAACATGTACAGTACACGTCCTGGGATCATTGAAAATAAAGGGGGTTACAAAAAATGGAAATTAGGTTTAGAATATGAAATCTTTAACTTGATGGTGACGTCGCATCTCTGACAAATTTTGACAGGGATCCGGCACTATGAAATTTAGCACTACACCACTGCATGTGATCAAATTTCGACCTTCTTTATCACTTACAGTAATTTGATTTATTAGTTTCATCCCGTAACCCCATACAGTTCATCCGCTGTCGTATGAGATCATGATAAGAAAGAAAAAAGGAAACAAACTGTACGCGATAATAACGTTTGTCGCTGTTTCCTCACAGTAAATAGCACTTATATAGTACAACCGTGTGAAATCTTCGAAATGCAGGTATTTTTTTTGTAAAGAAATAATAATAATAAGCTGTGTAAAATAAATATTTAGAAGCAGTCTAACACGAATTAAAAATAACGTTGAAATTTTACATGATAATTTAATGCAAAAAAATACAGAATTGTTAATTATAATACATGAACTAAGTGCAAATTTATAATATTAAGACTAACGCATTACAGTATTAAGTATAAAAGGTTATAACTAGATTTATCGCAAGTATAAATTTTAAATGAGTTTAAATTATACCCAATAAAAAAATTAGATGTAATTGAATCCGTCAGTAAAAACTCGTTATGTATTTTTTTTCAACAGTCACTAAAAATTTAAAATTAGGTGCATTTAAACAATTCTTATCTTTATCCACGGCTGCATCCACTTTCTGCAGATGTTACTGCTCAATAAAATGATATGTAAGTTTCATAAAAACTCTGTACTTTATCATAAAAAGTTAGTAATACAAAATATATTTAATCTTTCTTAAATGTTACTTTCATTATCAGTATTAGTTATAATGTTTAATATTTCTATTTTTTATTGGAGATTATCTTATATTGTTTGCTAGTATATGGATTTAGGATTAAGCCTCTTAAGCTCGTCAACCCTCAAAAGATACCATTGGAGATATAGTCACAGATTTTTTAATTTTCTAAATGAAAAATTCTTAATGTTTTCTCGGTTTATAGTTATAACATATATATGATGAAATGCTACTTTTGTTCTAATACATGATAAATTAAGGCGCTTTAATTTATAACGTACAATATTATCGTCTAAAATTCCTATACTTCAATTTTTGAATTATTTTAAGATTACGAAAAAGTAGCCACCCCTATTAGTACATGAGGATATAGTGAAAAAAAAATACGGCTAAAAAGAATGAAGAGATAAACCAATGTACTGAGGCAGATTCTTTATGAGGCGTAAACAATAACTCATAAACTTGCTAAGGTAAACATTTGGTAGATTATTTAAGTTAGTAAAAACCAACCTAGCTATTCGCTCTAGTTATACGTAGTTTATCTACGTATTCGTGTTTGTATTTTTTACTAATTAGACTTCCTTGTCAGATAAATGGTCATAAACTTGCATTACAGACGTTTCATACTACAGCAATGGTTCAATAAACTTATACTTATTTTCCCTGTTTTTGTATCATACCCTTCTGGATTAGGGTCATGCTCATTCTGGTGGTACGGAGACTTAGAACTTAGTATGAGTTGGAGTTTATTCTTTTGAGTATATCTCATGGGAATCATTGATGATGTAGGTAATCCAAGGATTGTGAGACACTGCATTAGAATATGATCTGTCTTAAGTGTGTGCTATTTTGAAAATTTCTATGTCTTATGCCGGATCTTGTTTTCCTCTTGTGTGCACATGAAAACTCTGCTCACTACTCCACAGTGTCGCCGTCTTCAATATTGAATATAGAGGACAGTAAGTTCAGTGAAGACCTATCCATTGTGTGAATAAATATCTTGTTTTATTTCTATACATGCATTTGTTTGCATTTCCTTTGTATTTCAAAACACCACTATACTACACATATTCCATTTGTGTTTTTTTTTTACTATTTTTGATATAATTTTTTTCCCTCCGTGAATTACACATAATAAAAGCTTAGGCAGCACCTTAATTAGGCCCCAATGAAGATCATTTGGCTAAACAGTTTAACACATCTCTTTCCCTAAAAGCAATTATAATTATTTTTTTTGTATTTTCAGATTTCATCACGCTGCAGATGTATATATTTATTTTTCGCTTTACTTTATGGTCGCCCCTGGTACGTACTTAAAATACTAAAATCCGAGGTTTGATTCCCCGCAGAGGAGACAGTGTAGACTGTAGACTGTAGATAGTCCATAGTGTGGCTTTGCACTAAGAACTTGACAACAACGATAACTTTATTGTTTCAACAAAAGCCATAGTTTGGTGATATTTCCTTTTTTTTTTATCTTTCATGTTACTCCAACGATTCATTATATTAGAAAGAGTATATATATATCAGAACCACCGTTATTAAAAACGATAACAAATGAAATGTTTTGAAATTCATATATCAAGAAACAATAACACTAATACAATACTCCATTCCGAACTTTAACAGTGGTTTGATTGAGTACAAAGCTACACAATGGGCTATCTGTGCTTTTCTCATCACGGGTATTGATACCCGAATTTTAGCGTCGTAAGCCTGCAGACCTGAGCCAAGGGGGGGGGGGGCACAGTGACTTGATCTACTAAGACTAAGAGGTTAATGTAATAATACCTAGGGCATTCATAAATTTCTATAATTTTTTAAAACGAAAATAAATCGATTTGTGAAGAAATTTGGATTAGAAAGAAATCAGATAATTTTTCCAAGTACCGAATTAATATAAATGTGTAAAAATACATATAGTTTATGGGCATCTTTCAAAAGAAATACCCTTTGTTTATTTAATTATTAAATAGTTAGTGTTTGCGCTCCTTTCGGTTGGCGCCATGGTATATTTGACACTTCGCGTGGCACACAGGCCTTAAGTAATTTTAGCGGTAGTAAGTGAATGATTGTTAGTGTTGCATACTATTTTTAGAGACGTAAGAAAATATAAAATTATCATCCTGTATATATATAATTTTCTACCTGTGTAAGTAGTTTAGAATTAGAGAGGCAATATAAAATATGGGAATAAGAATGTGTAAAATCGAATTTTTATAACGGGAATTTTTTGAACATTTGAATTTATAGAAGTACAATCACCATACAACTTCATAATACATACAAATAAAATTACTTAGTAATTTGTTTTTATTTTTAAAACTTGTGGTGCTTTTTATTTATCTTTCACAGCTACTTATTCCTAATTCTGAATATTCATATATTACAATACAAGTCAAAAAATTAACATGTAGGATGTAGAGTTGGGGGCCTTCTCCTTCACGATAAAGCATAACCAATTTTTCTTCTTTATTTGTTGAATAGTTGACTTAGGTTTAGGGGTATGAACTATAACAGCTTAAGGTTACAACTAACCAGTTAAACAGTGTGCGGAAACTGAAAGAGCTTGTAAAAACAACTGGCTGACGATGTTAAAACTAGTGGTAAGGACGTTTTTTATAAAAGGTACATAAATGGAAAGCAAAATCAGAATTGGTCCTTTCAGTGATGCTGATGCCAGTAATGGCAAGGCTTGAAAGCTATGAGATAGTTGAGCTGTTATATATTGTCTTCTGTTTAGAAAAGAGAAAATATTAGCAATGTTCAGTATCAGCCTGGTCATGTATATATTAATCCTTGATTGATTGTGAGATTAAAAATAAATAAAGCACCAGGGCTAGATAATTGTTTGATTATTGGAAGTATTTAGGTTTAAAGACCAAGGATGTTCAGAAATAATTTCTCTTTGCTCTACTTGTGATGTGGAAGGTGTACTTGGAAGTCTTTGTCGAAAAAAAAAGGGGGGGGGGTCATAAGACCCAACAAAACAAATGTAATGGGATCATAGAACCCAACACTGTAAATGGGTTGAGGATCAAAAAGATCCTATACCCCAAAAATTGGCTGTGGGAGAGAAACTAATTGGGCCTGAAGATTCTACTTGACAGTGTCTGAATTGTGAGAACAGATGGTTGAAAGTTTAAGGTTTTCTGTGGAAATGAAAATACTTCTTCCTCTGTTGCTGGTGTTCGTGGTTTCTGATCTCTCATTCTTTTCTTTCTTCTTGTTGGTGGTTATGTTTCCTGGTCTGTTTTTTTTTCCTCTTTGGCTGATGTTTGAATCCAGTGGGCTGTCAGAGAGATACAGTTAGTGTGAAGCTTTGGCTTAGGATGTATAGTTTCTGTAATGGTATATTAAACTTGTGTGGAATGGATGTTATGTTTCTCGGCTCATCTGAACTCTTTTGTGGGATTGATTTTTCTGCTCCGAAGTGAAAGTATTCCATGAAGAGGTTAAGGGCGAGATATTTGAGACTTGTTGTTTCATTCTTTGTAAGTTCGTACACAGTGGGGAGGTGCCTGAGAATTGGAGAGTTGCTAATGTTACAAAGAGTTGTTCTGGAAGTTATAGGCCAGTTACTTTCTTTTGTAGTAGAAGTTCTTGAGTGTCTGATCAAATAAGCTTCCAAAAACCATTTAGTGGAATATATGATATGAATAATGAAACAAAAGCCATCACAGATTCAATAAGGGAAAGTTTCATTCATTAAATCTTTTTTTTTCTTCATGGTATTGTATGTTATCTGGGTAAAGAAAAGGGTGTGGATTTAGTGTACTTATATTTTCAAAAATTTTTGAAAAGGTGCTGTATATAAGGTTATGTAATAAAATCATATCAATAGGGGATGGGGAAAGACGAGTTAAGAAAGCCATTGAGTTTGTAAATGTTTTATTTTAAGGGTGTTAAATGTTATCTGGATAATGGAAAACATGTGAATTTGATGTAGTTACATTCCTGGACATTTTTGATAAGGTGCCATATAAAGATGATCTAATAATACCACATCAGTAGGGAATGGGGAAAGAATAGTTAACTGAACTCTATGGTGGTTAGGTGGGAGAAAGTAACTGGATCCTTGTTACTAGTGGAATACCTTAGGGGTCTGTACTTGAGTCTTTTTCTTATTTACATTAAGGGCATTGAGATACTAAAGGATGATTTGCATCAGGTGATAAGTTGGGCAAATGTTTGGCAAATGAGCTTTAATTATAATTAGTACAGGGTAATGCATTGGGTTATTATAATTTGAATCACATATTTAATATAGATGGGAACCCACTCTGTAGCATGATCTTGGCATGGTGGTAGAGAAGTCACTCAAGCCATGAAGTCAGTGTTCTGTTTCTGGTCGTAAAATAATTGAATTTTAGGGTGTATTTATAGACATGTTGAGTACAAGCTGAAACAGATAATTATTTATGTACAAGTCACAAATTAGGGCTCTCTTGGAAAACTACAGTTTTCCACTATATCTTTACCAACAACAAGAGAAGAATTATTCTGGTTATGGATAGGTTGTGATATAAGATCACAACTTTTTCCTTTTGAAAAGAGAAGTCCAGGGATACTTGATTGAAGTATTAGAATTCTGTGTCAGCTTCTGAAGGCAGTAAGACAAAAGGTCATAAATGTAAAATTTATAAAGGTCAGACACATCTCCAGGTGAGATAGGTGTTTATTTATTCAGTAAAGAGGTAAATCTGTAGAAACAAGTGCCCTCTGGCTATAGCTTTACAAGAGTTTATGGAAAGGATTGATTGATGAATATTTGGGAGTATCAGGACTAAGTTTAGTGATTAGTTTTCTATTTGTTGAAGGAAGGTGGGACTTAGGAAAAATGTTATAGCATAATATCACTATCAAAGCCTTAAATTAATCTGGAGAAGTTTAACCTGCACAAAATGCTATGCAAATGAATATATGTTCCCAAGTTGTATTAGTATTACACAATTTCATGTACTCTGTGCTGTTTCCTACCATAGTGCTCTTTTAAACTTATTTACTGGGAATCCAGAAATACTTGATGGGTCAAAAGGCCTCTTGATGTTCCACAGTTTGTTAAACCAAACAAATTTTGCCACCTTATAGCCTTGCCAAGTAATAACGTTTGCTTCTGAAGCACGCTTGCTTAGAAATTCCAACTCATCTTACAGTGTTCTTTGGTTCTGGTTTTAAATTAAGGTAGGAAGTGTGTGTGAGGGGGCCACTTTTCAATCTGCCCTAGTAAGGCTTCATAAAAATTAGAAAAGTTACTCTTAGGAAAGGCAGGAAAATGCATAAAATTTAATCCAGAATTGACGAGCTTCCAGGGCCCTATGTTGAGCCCTGGACCAGGCTGTTATAGTTGCCATTATGGTGTACATTCCCTTGCTTCAATTGTTCAAATAAACCTTTGACTTCTCACTTTTAATTTGCCTGCTGCTTCTCTGTATCTGTTGTATATACTACTAACTTTAATTCATGTCCTTAGAGATTCTTAGCAAGATGCTTAGTGTAAATAAGAATTCAGCATAAAAATTGCTTTTCTTTCCTTCCCTCTTCTATGAAATATTTGTTAAATGTTTATATGTACAGTGTTATCTTTTTATAGATTTATTTTATATGATTTTCATTTATATTTAGTATTGTTGCATATCTGCTTGTTTGTTAATTTCCGATATAAATTCTTTCAGAGAAACTTCAGCGATACAAGTCCTTTCTTGAATAAAGCTAGTTTATTCTTTTTCGATACAACTTTTAGTAACGCACAGAATTTCCACAGTCACTTTAAACTTAACAACCTTTATAACACATGCTATAAATCACAGT